TATGTGTAAATTAATTGCTTCTGGTTCTTGAAATGCTTTCTAGTGGACATACTTTTTTTTTTTTTTTTTTTTTTTTTTTCTGCAGTTCTAAGATAGAAACTTTTCTGTATAGAAAACTGTAGATTATTGCCTGTGAACAGATTTCTTACTGGTCAATAGGAGGATTAAGTTCATTATCCGCAATATAACTTTCCTAATAAGCTCAGATCTGACATGAACGAGAAGCTGAAGATTAACAGTTCATCTGACCTGTATGTAGGTGCCTTTTCTGTGTTTATTTGACAGTTTCTTTCTCTTCTGGCTGACTAACATTTCCCTCTGGAAAAAGAGAGTACAGAAAGAAGGGCAGCTAATTAATACTTCCAAATTTTCTTACTATTTCTAACTCATCAGCAGTTTCCCTTTTTAGTTACGTTGGGGGAAAATATCAAATAGAGTCTAATGAACTATTACTGCTAGCCAGTTAAGACTTTTCTTCCCTCCTGTAAATTAGTTACAACACTGGGCAGATGTCTTTCCTTAGGAAAGCAGTACAATTCAAGTCAATTAATGAATAATAATACATCCTTGCCTTGAAAACTGTTCAAATTTGATCAGCCCCATTCTACATTAGACAACAGCAAATCCAGAATATCTGTGCAGAAGACAAAATTATAAGTAGAAGAGATTCCTCTTTGAGGAGAGCCTGAAATAACCTATACTGTTTACAAGCAGAAGTTAAAACCAAAATATAGTGGAAAGCCATAAACCGCTTCAATGTATTTGGGATCAGGTAGGCATTCGTATTTTGTCTACTTCCATGTACAAAAGTCAGAAGAAATTGAAAAGAGGAAGAGTTTATAAATTGCAGAAACTTCTTGTAAGCATTAAAATAAAAATAAAAGAATAAGTAAAATAAAAATTCTTTATGAAAACTAAAGCAATTAAAAGATAAATAAACACTTCATTTTACTGTGCTAATTACAGTGACAGGTTATAGTTCAAAACTAAGAGTTTACTGAAATTAAACTAGTTTACCAATGTATATAAAAGAAGTATGATAATACCAGATAATTTTGAAAGAACCGTGTAATCATATAAAATTATAGGGAAATTTATACCCTAATACACTAATCATAGAATTATTATTTAGCTATTTTTAGGATTTCAAAACAGTTTGTTCCTTAATTGTTCAATTCATAGCATCCTACATGTTACTCTCAAGCATTTGCTATTTGTGATCTGTTAAATTAGGTGGAATATTGTATTGAAATGGCAGATCTTTTCTGGTTTTAGTCGCCTTTGAAATTATTAAAACTCAATTTCCCACATCTAAGCTTTATAAATAATATTTCTGAGTATTTTTGTCTTCTTCCAAGAAGTAAGGGAAAATTGTAGGTATTCCACAAGCGTCCAGCATTATTGTATTAGTACATAATACACTGTCATCTTTGAGGTGTCATTTTTACATATTAAATATATGCATTATTATGCTTTCTATACATAAATAATTACAGTTACAATGATTAGATTAGCCAGTAATTACTTGGGATTGTTTGTGGAAAAATGAAAGGACTCTAGAATGGGATTGTTCTTGTAGACTCTGCTAATTTTTGCAGATCTACTCAGTCCAGTTCAGAATTCACTTAGGGTCTGTGCTTCTATAGATAAGATCTATCTCCTACGGCACTTCAACTCAGGGTTTTTTTTGTCTGTTTACTTAGGAGAGAAAAAACTTGTACTACTTTTTATGCTTGCACAGCTAATTACTAAGGACAAGGAGCTGGCAGGGGCAGGTCCACCGCCATGGAGGCTCACTCCATCCTCTGAGGAGCGCCATGCCATGCACCTGCACCTGCCACAGCCTTACGCAGTAGCATATACTCCCCTTACTTTGTGGAGGGACAAATCAGTGTAAAGCTGCATTTTTGCGTCCGTGTTTATTGCTGAAGGAGTGGTCTGTAGTGGAGTTTAGTACTGACATGGTTATGCTTTCCCATAATTAATGATTCAATAAACCCGTAGGGTGATAACACCCAAATTTCCAGCAAACAAGGAGGGTTCTGCTTCAGATCTTTGTGGAGAGGAATTTACAGCCAGTGGAAGATGCACTGTTTATATGGGATAGCTTCCTAACAACACTAACAATTTTTTTTCCCCATGCAACCTACTGAAGAATCACAAGAAAGTTTGTGCAAACTTAAATCACCACCAGAATGCATTGCGATGTCAAAAATGAAAGCAGGAATTAGGGAAAGACAACAAGCCAGAGCAATTCTTGGATATTACAAGCCATCAGCCTCTGGTTCCAGTGCTTCATGTAAAGGATGATGTTTTCTTTTGTATCCTGAGGGTGGCATTGATGAAAAATTCCTTTCCTTTGAACAGCTTTTAAAATTTGCTTGTAGTGTCAATACAGGCACCCCATGAGGATATGTCACAGAAATACTTATTCTGAAATAACTGAAAAAAATACAAAGAGAGAAATTACACTTGACTGTGAATTTAGGAAGGGATCAGAATACAAAGAAATACCCTATATGTAACTGAATTTTGTTATCTACTTGTTTAAGATTGATTTCATTTTCAAATGCTTTGAGGTATGGAATATTTTTGATTGAACCACATCCAGAAGTATTCACCTCTGTAAGTGACACTGTTGTTTGAATCTGTTGCATGGTGTATTAAAGGAAACATTTCATACATCACTTCCTTTTCCTTTCCACATAGTTTCTTATCCTTTTGATTTACTTTTCAGAGCTAAGACTTGGAGATTCACAAAGTCTCTGTGTGATACCCTTAACTTAGAGAACTATGATGAGAAACAACAGGAAAAGTCTTTTTTTAAGGAGGTAGTCTTTGAAGTCAGTGATCAATGACATTAATTCGGCTGGATGTTCTCATTTTTTCTCTTTAAAAGTTCTGTAATTCTCCTGCTATGGAGGTAGAACTGGCCCCTAAAACTAATCAAATTCATAATCTCTGACCCTTTCGTTTTTCAGAAGGGATCCAGGTGTCTCTGCTTGTGTGAAAGCAGAAAACAAAACACTAGTTATGGTTGGGACCACTTCTCTCTGGGTGGGTTTCTGGATGTGAGTTGGCACATTCAGTGGTGGAGTAGAAGAGCCTCTGCTCCCAAGAGTGGACAACTCAGCAGAAGGTAGCCTGGACCTACTGCATGGAAGGAGGATGTAGACTGACAGATTTCTCCATTTTAATAGCTTCCCTGGTACTCTTTATTAACAACAAAGGCTGCTTTCACAGTTACAGTCTGATTGTTTGCATTATATTAGGTTTATTGTTAATGTAATGCCTGTGAAAGATGGGTCAAAGTTCCGATCTTGGGATCACATTAAGCCTTGAAATATTGTGAACATTTAGCCATGCTTTGTCATTTGAGAAAAAGAAGAAAATTAAGGAAAAAAAACATATCAAGGAGAAAGTGGACGTCAGAGATGAGAATGTGTTGGTGAACATGTCAGAACCTTAAAAGAAGATGATGATACAGAGTAACTAGAAAATGAAAAAAAGATAGAAAATGTTAATTTTCTTTTAAGAGGAATAGAACTTAAGATGGCAATATATTGAATAGTTATTTTACAGTATGAAGCGAAGGTAATGATGTATTTGGAAGGTGCAAATGTGAGATAGTGTATTTGGTTTGATTTACTTTTATTGTGCTTTCTTTCCTCTTAGGCACCTTTTTAGCTCTACAGGTTAATAGGGAAAGGAACTGACATTCAGATTGAAACCAGACATAAAAAATACCAAACTTGTGACATTCTAGTGTTAAATACCCAGAAGAGCAAAATCAAATAATATTGTTGCTTATATATTGCCTAGATATAACATAAAATTAAGTGAAGTACATGTGATTTTTCGAACAACAAAAAACCCCAGATTCTAGAGTTCTCCCTCTATGCAAAAATCTGTGACTTGGTTAGTTATTGTAATTCAATACAGACAGCTTTCAAAGACAAACAAAAAAAAGCAGATAGTAAATTGGAGTTTACATTATTCTTTCCCTACCTGGTAGTCCATGAACAGTAGATCGTTACATTTACAATTTTTTATTATGCCAATTTCAGAATTTAATGACTTTCTGAACAAAAATAAAAGTTTTAAAGCTTTTTGAGAGTTAATAGAAATTGTTTCTATCAAAGAGTTAAGCAGCTGAAGATGAATGGTCGATATTGAGCATCGTTTGTAAGATTGATTTTGGTGTTAGATTATCTGTTTCTTTAGTAGTAATTGTGTCTAAAATTTTTCTGAAACTTCCCCTCACTTTATTTTAGTGCCTTGTATACCAGTGGACTGGATTTAATAAAATTATTAAGATGGGCAGAAGAATAAGCATGTAGTAGGCCTAACCTTATAATATTTATGCATGTGTTGCATAAATATTCTTCGGAGCCTATTCTTCACACTGCGCATCCTCTTGGTAATTGTATTAATAAACACAGGACAATTAGTTTTGTACAGACTATCCAATAAATCATCTGGGATCATAAACCTCTTTTCTTTTTTCCCTAATTCATAGCCTGGGCAATATCTTCCCAGGAGCTGTGGAAAGTGCCTAATTCATATAATTCATCTATATCTATATATATCTCAGAGTTTGGGATTCAGCACTTACAGATTCATGTCCTTAGATAGAAAAGCACTGTTTTTATTTCTTAGCCAATAAATAATACATTCTTCCTACATATGGAACGGGGGTTTGGGCAGTGTATGTCTCCTTGACAGCACTATATTTTGCTAGCTGGAGGCACTGATCTTGCTGATGTGTATTTCTTTAATTTTCATTCTCATTTCCCCTGAAGATTCTAATTAGATTCTGGTGATGCTTAAGAGGAAGGGACAGTATTTCTCTGATTATTCTTTCTAATGCAGAGGGCAGTAGTTTTCTGATGTGCAGCATGTAGCACATGTGGAAACAGATGTCTGTCTTTAGCAAACTGTCATTTGTCCAACTTAACAAAAACCGTGCTAAGAGGAGCTGGGGAAGGGCTGTGAAGCTGGGGGAGAATCACAAAGCCTGGGTCTGGAAGCACTGGAGTGCAGAGTGCAGATAGCAGCACGCTCCCTCGTGCAAGTTTCCAGGGAGCGTTTCTTCTTGGCACTGACACAGCCAAGTCTTCAGCTCTGACACAGATGTTTCTCCATCAGCTCTGAAGTAATGCTGCTCACCAAATACAATGACATATCCAGGGATTCATGGTCCACCTCAGCCTTCTAAGAGGACTCGCTACTGATGAAATCAAATGCTTAGAGAAGCATGAGATGTGAGGCTTTATCTAATATTTTATGTCAGCTGGTGAATCGCCACAGCTCAGTACAGTGCTGCTTTACACCACTGCAACTTTCTTCAAAGCAAACTCTTGGTAAAATCCTCTAATTTCCCTCTGATTGCGAACTGGTGTGAAGACTGGAATGATTTGCCTGTTGGAAGAATGTTGACTCTCGAGTGGGAGTCGGAGGGACTGCAAACAGTGGGTATTGTTGTGATTATATTTGCATCTCTGAAGCTGCTTCATTTGCTGGGACTGATTGATTTTTCAGAAGGTAAAGTGGTCACTTGCAGTTTGTGCTGTTTGTAGGTGTGGTGTCTGATCGGCTAAAATAGACTTAGGGAGCATCAGGTATAAAAGCTGTGAAATAAAAAGGCTTGAAAAGTGAAAATAACATTCAGACTAAAAATCCTGGTTTGCTTCTGATGATTTTACTTTGTTGTTGTAAAACAGAAGTAGATGCTAGTGTAATATTTCTATTTTACAATGAATTGCTAAGTGTCTGTGTGTGGATGTTTATTAGAAAGACTGAAAACTGAACATAATGCCTGTCAGTTGCCTCTGAAAGCTATTCACTGTCACAAAACTTGATAGATTAAGTGGATCTTAGTTCAGTTCATGTTTATAACATGCTTTGCTCTTCTGATTTATGATGCAATTTGGGTTTTATTCTGTATCAGTATTTCTGTGTTAAAAACCTGTTTCATAGACAAATGCAAAACACTTTCTAGAGAATAAGCTTTAGGATGTAGTCTGCTTGACACCTTTCAAAGAAAAAGCATAGATACCAACATTAAATGTGGGTATTTTAAATATATATAATGAATATATGTTTTAAAATTCCTTTTTTTTTTTCTTTTCCTCAGATTCCTCTCTGCTCTCTACTTATATGGGTCATATCATTTCATCTACTCTCAAAGAGGGCTTTGCACTAATTTCAGTAGGATTTTTATTTCTATACGAAGTGATATCTTTCACATTTTATAGAAATAAGCTATTTCAGTTCAGTTATCAATGAGATCTTTTGCTGTCAAGTTTTCAACACTTTAACAAAATGTCTTGTGTAGACTGTTGTAGTATACAAAAGCTATTCACTCACTGAAGCCCTGGCTCAGAAAATACTGCTTTCGTCAGTATGTTTTTACATGTGAACACAAACCAGTCCTTTTTACTGTGCAGCTGCTTTCAGTCAGAATCATACAGCCAAGGAGAGCACTCCAGTTTTCTGAAACATTAACTTTTCATCATGAAATAGGATCTTTGATGGATGTAGATTCACATCATCACCTCATAAAATTGTTCAGCTGATAAAATGTGAAATATTTAACACAGCACTTTTATAGTTCCTGAACTATTGAAATAAATCATCCTTAGAACGGTTTGTGGTGAGAATGTATAATATTTGCTGTGTTACTATATAATGCATCGGTTATGGAATTCTAAAATTACTTTTCAAATTCGAAACAAATGAGTTATTTTTTTTCTCATAACAGTGCTCACTTTTGGGAGTTCTTTATGCTCTGGATGTATAGCATTTTTAACATCTAAAAAATCCTCTTACTAGATTATGTGTTAGTTTCAACTTTATAGCACATGGTAACAGGAAAAAAATACTAAAATGCTAATTTATTTTTTTTTTTAGCAGATGTACAGTTACATCCCTTTCTTGACTTCTCACAGTATGATATGGTTATTAAGTCTGTGGGAAAATGTTTCATGTAATTTCAACTATATTAAATCACCTTTTAAAAAAATCCCCCCTGGTAGAAATTATACTGGTTTTAATATAAATAGTATCAGGATGATATATCAATTAAAGTATAACTCTTTGTCATAGTTCTTAATGGTATTTCCTCACATGATAATTTCATAATTTCACAAAATTACCTAGCAACATAAAACTGATCTCTAGATGTAAAAAGATTAAGCATTATAAATTATAGTGGATGTATTTGTAACATCCACAGTGTGCATAGCTCTAGTGACCTTGGAGAGTTTCCAGTTCCCATAAGGCTGATCTGTTCTATTCAATTCTTCCATGTTTGGGTACTGCCATTACTATTAAACAAGAATTCTGTCCCAAATGATTAAGGAGTATTTTATAGGATATTCAGAATTAATGTTTTGTTGTTCTTCTGCTGAATGCAAGGACAGGTTTTCTGTTGATATGCAGGGAGGACCATACTTGAATGTCCAGTGTTGACCCTGAAACCAAAATAAGCAGTGAGCCCTCCCTAACTACCCCATAGAGGCACAGCATGAGCCATATACTGAAACAAATTGTTCCCATAGCTGGGCTTCCTGATGCCTTAACATGCATTTCTTGATATCCCTGATATATTGACTTATATAAAAAATATAACTGAAGGAAAGGGCAGCATGCTTGTCCAGATGTTTGCCAATACAGGACAGAGAAGACAGCTAAATGACAAGTCCTTAGTTTGTTACAACTCCACTGATTTTGATGAGGTTGTGACGATGCATTACAGCACTTTTAACCAGCAGAATGCCTTGTCTAAACCCAAACCAAGAGTCAGCTACAGAAATGGGAGCAGAACTAAAGTGATCCACAAAAGCATCATGGGCTGAGTAATTGGAGTGTTTCCATCCTTCCAGTTCACTTTTCCTCTCTGTTCACAAGAATGTGGAGGTAGCTTCAGCTTCACTACTCCTTAATCTGTTTGTACTGTGAAAATGCAACATCTTGTTTATTGTTTATTTTTATAGTAATTTATAATGAGATATAAAATATCCTAGACATAGTATTCCAGGCACTTTCAGTATTCTTTTTAAAAAGAACAAACATAAAACAACAGTACGGTTGCAGAAAAAATTCTTTAACACATGTATTGGATGTGTTCTAACCAGTACAGCTTCTTTGCCATGTGCAGTCATTTCTCCTGCAAAAATGGACTTTGAATTGAACAAGCAAGAAGATGGGTCACTCACTGTGTTGTGATGGACAGCCACACTCCTTTACTTTACATAGCAAAGGAGTTAATGGTGAGGAATAGCTTGACTTGCCACATTCCTCCATGGGAAAGTAGGAGAATCTAGGCAATATGTTTAGTTTTATGACAATGTTCAACATTTGTCAGGAAAGAGAACCTGATTTCATGCTATGTCCCAGACTAGCAGCTATATACTTCTACTTCATCCATCCTCCACTTTCCAGTAAAGCAGGAAAGGGAGACCAGAATGAGGAGAAATCTGGCTTCACTGGGAGCCAGTGAGCTATTTCAGTTAGGGCAGAATTGAATCAATACCACTTTTACTAGAAGAGAATGAAACTCTCCCTCTCCTTCCATTACTTTGAAAGTGGTTTGACACTGATCAATATCTTCCCTCCAGCTTCCTTGACTGAGATTTTTGCTGCTGGGCAGCTTCTCTCCAAAGCTTTTGTTTTGTTACTTAGCTGGATGGGGAGAGGAGAGCGATCAGAACTGAGACAAAGGATCAGAGCGGTACAATAGCAGCACCAGAATAAATTCATCCACCAGGAACTTGGAGGAGAGAGACTGGCAAAATGAAGGATAAACTTTGCATATGTGTGTCCAGAATATCTGTCAAGTGGTAGCTATATGGAGATGTTATGTAAATATGTGTGAGCAACTTTATAAACATCAGGGGACTGCATAAATCAGTCTTTAAAAGGACAATCTGTGCCTCTTCATTACGCATTGCTTGGTTTGAAGTGTAACACCTCATACAGAAGTGTTTTTCTTGTGGATGTAATCAACTAGTGTTGCAAACTGTTCTAGACCCTGCTATTCTTCCCCTTCTTCTTCCACGAATTTCTAACAGTTTCCACAACTTATTACCTTTCAAATGCTTATTCAGTTGTAAATACTATGTCTGATACATGAATGTCCCACAAACTCAAAATTGCTTTGCTAGTAGGACCCACTGGTCCCTACATGGTTTTCAACTCAATAGGCCATCAAGGTTATGTAGGAATATTTTATCCTTAGTTTATCTTACTGTAATGCAAAGCAAAGAGCAGTTCACTTACAGTTACCAATAAACATATTTAGCTGTGAAGTCAGCCTTGAGAGTAAATGGAATTGGAAATTGGGGAAGGGGTGTATTTTTTTTTAAATACAGGTAGTTTTCTGTCCTAGGATATATCTACTATGTGCAGGTACAGAAATAACTTGTTTGTTTGTTTCTGCTCTAATTTGGATGGTCAGAAGCCACCTCCAGTCCAGAAGTTATGTTAGTGCATTTGACTTGATTTTTTCTGTCACAGTAACATGCCAAAATGTGGCCCCTTTTGTAGCTGGGATACTTAAAAGCACAGAGAGGATAAGGTTAGGTCTGTCTGCTACCATCTGTGTTAGCATGTTAGTTACCCTTATGGTTTAGCAAAAACATTAATGTTTAAAATATTGTCTCAAGTGCAGTATGAGTTTCCCACTTAGAAAATTAATAATATGGGAAAGACATTGCTGACAAATTCTCTGTTGCTTTGTACTTTTCTAAGAAAACGCAAAAAAGCAAGTTTTCTGCTTGTCTACATGTGGCTGATAAATTATCAGAAATTGGATGTCCTACCCATGTACTGGCGGCAGTGCTACAAGTCCAGGTTCCAGCAGACTCTCAGTCTCCTGTATCACATCTCTCAACCAAATGGGATGCAATGTAGCATAACTCCACAATAAACAGGAAGATAAGGAATATACCACACAGCAGTACATGTCTGCTTACCTACTCTTAGCAGCTGCTTGTAACACTGGATGAGGATCTATCAGTAGCTGTTCAGTTTTCGCATGGTGAAATGTCCACTTCCTACTTGTCTTATTTTCTTCTCCAGAGACACTTGTGGGATTGAGGGAACTACTTTCTTCTGAGTAAACCAGCATCACCTCCCTCAAAAAATTCTGTTCATGGATGCTGATATCCCAGTGCCAATTCATGTCATCAAGGTATATAATAGTGTGAGGTTTCCTATGATGATCAGTGAATCTTTCACACTAGAAATGAATCCAATAATCCCTTCAGCATCAGATTTATTAGCACCTGTGCACATAGCCTGTTTATTTGCTGAATGTGGCTAGGTGAAAGGTGTTAAGATTCAAATATTACCTTTCCAGGGGCATACTAATTCCCCTCAGAAGTGAACCAAGTAGATTACCTTTTTCCTGTGTTTCCTGAACTTTTGTTGTAAATCTTGAGAGAGATTCTGGATTCAAGGTCACTATAGGAAAGCCAGTCTATAGAAGCATCTATAGAAGCACAGCAGAGAACAGTTACTTCAGACCAAGTACAAAGTCT